CTCTTCTCAGCACTGTCTCTCTCTCTCTCTCTCCTCTGCTCTCCTGTCTCTTTCTCTCTTTCTTCTCTCTTCCTCTCTTTTCAGCACTTTTCTCTCTCTCTTCTCTCTCTCCTCTTTTTCTTCTGTCTGTCTCTTTCTCTCTTTCTCTTTCTCTCTTTCTGTCTGTCTCTTTCCTTTCTTCTCAGCACTTTCTCTTTCTGTCTATCTCTTTCCTCTCTTCTCAGCTCTTTCTCTCTTCTCAGCTCTTTTCTCTTTCTGTCTCTTTCCTCTCTTCTCAGCACTTTCTCTCTGTCTGTCTGTCTCTTTCCTCTCTTCTCAGCACTTTCTCTCTTTCTGTCTGTCTCTTTCTCTCTTCTCAGCTCTTTCTCTCTTTCTGTCTGTCTCTTTCCTCTCTTCTCAGCACTTTCTCTCTGTCTCTTTCCTCTCTTTCTCTTTTGTCTGTTTATTCCCTCTTCTCCGCCCTCTCGCTGTCTGTTTATCCCCCCCCCCTCTCTCTATCTCTCCTTACAGAAGGCCTCTGCGTCGCACCACACTTACTATTCCCAAACCTCTTGGCAACGCCTGCAAATATAAAGCACTTTAAATGTATACGCTTGCTCTTATGAAAATGTATATCCTGATGATTCGTTATAATAATAAACACAAGAAGTATGCAGCAAAAAAGAAAAGAAAAAGGAGAGAGAAAGGGAGGCAGGAGAGAGAGATAGGGAACAATACTATAGGAAACACGAGAAGATAATGACCATAGACAGGAAAAAAAAAAAAAAAACACTACTCGGCAACTCGGATACAAGAGGCCATGACACCATCCGCTCAGAAGCAGCCTCAGTCTCGCGTCCTTCCCCGCCTCTGTTGAACAGCGTCTGCGAGCTGGCGTTGAAATCCGATTTCAGAACAGCGTGTGCAAATGCTCTCTGCTGTTCGAAGCCAGTGACGATGATGGCGCGTGTCCACATGCTGCTGGTGGCTTTGTCGCTGTTGCTCGCGTCTGACTCACGAGGATCCTCTTATCGCTTCAGCAGAGGCCTTGCCGAGGGACGCTCTCCTCCACAGTGCGAGCCTATCGTCGTGTCGTTGTGTCAGAATCTCTCTTACACGACCACGACGGCCGTATCGCCTCACCACACCTCCCAGATAGAAGCCGAGCAATATCTCTACACCCGGTTCTCCCACTTACTTGGATCCGACTGCTCCCCAGACCTTCGTAGGTTCCTCTGTGGGATGTACGTGCCGGAGTGCGGGGGGTCTGGCCCTGTGTCTGCGCTGCCGTGTCGAGGCCTTTGTCTTACTGCTCGGGATCGCTGCCAGGAGAGCGGGAACACCTTCTCGTGGCCTGAGACGCTTCGGTGTGACAGGTTCCCAGTGGAGGGAGAGGACGAGGAATGCTGGAATGGAAATGTAGGTAACAGTATATCTGGCTTGCGTAATAGTCCAAGTCTGAGTGACCAGTGTGAACAAATAGATATCACTTTATGTCAAGGACTGTCGTACAACTTGACGGTGATGCCAAATCTGCTCAGTCATACAACGCAAGAAGAAGCCGGCATGGAACTTCACCAGTTCGTCCCTCTTGTCAAAGTGCAGTGTTCTCCAGACCTCCAGAACTTCTTATGCAGTGTTTATGCTCCATTTTGTAATGCACAAGGACGGCCAATTCCTCCGTGCCAAAGACTCTGTGTCTCCGCAAGGGATGGTTGTGAAACACTAATGAACCGGTTTGGTTTCCGGTGGCCAGAATCTCTAGAATGCGGCAAGTACCCAGACAGCACAGAGTGTTGGGACGGCAATGCACTGTCTCTTCCCAACGGCAATGTTGAAGTAGGCCAAACACCTCCACCTAAAGATCTGACAAGTAGTCCACTTCCAGGGCCCAAGTGTGAGCCTCTTTCAGTGCCTTTGTGTAAGGGTGTGAGCTACAATCACACACTTTTCCCCAATTTACAGAGCCACACTTCTCAAGCTGAAGCTGCTCTGGAGATGGAACAATTCATTCCCCTTTTACGCAGTAAGTGTTCACCTCATCTGGAACTCTTCTTGTGCAGCATTTATGCCCCTGTGTGCACAATCCTCGAGAAACCTCTCCCTCCTTGTAGAGACCTTTGTGTGACCTTAAGGAGGGATTGTGCAGGTGTAATTAGAAGGCTTGGACTGTCTTGGTCAGAAATATTTGAATGTGAGAGATTTCCATCAGGAAACGTTTGTGTAAGTGACGTTGGGACAAGTGTTGAAACTTCTACAAGAGATCCAAGTCCTCAGGTGGAAGGTGGAGGCATGTCCCTCAGTGAGAAATGTGAGGTTCTAAGTATACCTTTATGCAAAGATATGCCATATAACATGACGATTGTCCCAAATCTGCTCAACCACAATTCACAAGAGGAGGCCGGTTTACAAGTTCACCAGTTCTTCCCTCTAGTCAAAGTGCAATGTTCTCCAGATCTCCAGAACTTCTTATGCAGTGTTTATGCTCCATTTTGTAATGCACAAGGACGGCCAATTCCTCCCTGCCGAAGACTGTGTGTTTCTGCAAGAAGGGGCTGCAAAAGTTTGATGCAAAGGTTTGGTTTCCTGTGGCCAGAATCCCTGGAATGTAGCAAATTCCCAGAAGGGACTAATTGTTGGGATGGCAAGACAGGAATCTCTACTGCTAGCACCTCAGAAGTAGAAGAAACATCTTTAATTGTACCAGATACCCATGTTTCAGAGGGCAAATGTGAGCAAATTACTATACCTCTATGCAAGAACTTGAACTATAATTCCACAATCTTTCCAAACTGGCTTAATCATGAATCGCAAGAAGAAGCCGGCATGGAAGTTCACCAGTTCGTCCCTCTTGTCGATGTGCAATGTTCTCCAGACCTCCAGAACTTCTTATGCAGTGTTTATGCTCCATTTTGTAATGCACAAGGACGGCCAATTCCTCCCTGCCAAAGACTCTGTGTCTCCGCAAGGGATGGTTGTGAAACACTAATGAACCGGTTTGGTTTCCGGTGGCCAGAATCTCTAGAATGCGGCAAGTACCCAGACAGCACAGAGTGTTGGGACGGCAATGCACTGTCTCTTCCCAACGGCAATGTTGAAGTAGGCCAAACACCTCCACCTAAAGATCTGACAAGTAGTCCACTTCCAGGGCCCAAGTGTGAGCCTCTTTCAGTGCCTTTGTGTAAGGGTGTGAGCTACAATCATACACTTTTCCCCAATTTACAGAGCCACACTTCTCAAGCCGAAGCTACTCTGGAGATGGAACAATTCATTCCTCTTTTACGCAGTAAGTGTTCACCTCATCTGGAACTCTTCCTGTGCAGCATTTATGCCCCTGTGTGCACAATCCTCGAGAAACCTCTCCCTCCTTGTAGAAACCTTTGTGTGACCTTAAGGAGGGATTGTGCAGACACAATTAGAAGGCTTGGACTGTCTTGGTCAGAAATTTTTGAGTGTGAGAGATTTCCATCAGGAAACCTTTGTGTAGGTGATGTTGGGATAAGTACTGACACTTCAACAGCAGTTCCATCACCTCCACAAACAGATCATCCAGGTACCCAGCTCCTAGGGCTGCCTTCTTTTCCCAACAGCAATGTTGAAGTAAGCCAAACACCTCCACCTAAAGATCTGACAAGTAGTCCACTTCCAGGGCCCAAGTGTGAGCCTCTTTCAGTGCCTTTGTGTAAGGGTGTGAGCTACAATCATACACTTTTCCCCAATTTACAGAGCCACACTTCTCAAGCTGAAGCTGCTCTGGAGATGGAACAATTCATTCCTCTTTTACGCAGTAAGTGTTCACCTCATCTGGAACTCTTCCTGTGCAGCATTTATGCCCCTGTGTGCACAATACTCGAGAAACCCCTTCCTCCTTGTAGAAACCTTTGTGTGACCTTAAGGAGGGATTGTGCAGGTGTAATTAGAAGGCTTGGACTGTCTTGGTCAGAAATATTTGAATGTGAGAGATTTCCATCAGGAAACCTTTGTGTAGGTGACGTTGGGACAAGTGTTGAAACTTCTACAAGAGATCCAAGTCCTCAGGTGGAAGGTGGAGGCATGTCCCTCAGTGAGAAATGTGAGGTTCTAAGGATACCTATATGCAAAGATATGCCATATAACATGACGATTGTCCCAAATCTGCTCAACCACAATTCACAAGAGGAGGCCGGTTTAGAAGTTCACCAGTTTGTCCCTCTTGTCGATGCGCAATGTTCTCCAGACCTCCAGAACTTCTTATGCAGTGTTTATGCTCCATTTTGTAATGCACAAGGACGGCCAATTCCTCCCTGCCAAAGATTCTGTGTCTCCGCAAGGGATGGTTGTGAAACACTAATGAACCAGTTTGGTTTCCGGTGGCCAGAATCTCTAGAATGCGGCAAGTACCCAGACAGCACAGAGTGTTGGGACGGCAATGCACTGTCTCTTCCCAACGGCAATGTTGAAGTAGGCCAAACACCTCCACCTAAAGATCTGACAAATAGTCCACTTCCAGTGTCCAAGTGTGAGCCTCTTTCAATGCCTTTGTGTAAGGGTGTGAGCTACAATCATACACTTTTCCCCAATTTACAGAGCCACACTTCTCAAGCTGAAGCTGCTCTGGAGATGGAACAATTCATTCCTCTTTTACGCAGTAAGTGTTCACCTCATCTGGAACTCTTCCTGTGCAGCATTTATGCCCCTGTGTGCACAATCCTCGAGAAACCTCTCCCTCCTTGTAGAAACCTTTGTATGACCTTAAGGAGGGATTGTGCAGGTGTAATTAGAAGGCTTGGACTGTCTTGGTCAGAAATATTTGAATGTGAGAGATTTCCATCAGGAAAAGTTTGTGTAGGTGACATTAGTACAAGTACTGACACTTCTACAGCAGTTCCATCACCACCAACAGATCATCCAGGTACCCAGCTCCTAGGGCTGCCTTCTCTTCCCAACGGCAAAGTTGAAGTAAGCCAAACACCTCCACCTAAAGATCTGACAAGTAGTCCACTTCCAAGGCCCAAGTGTGAGCCTCTTTCAGTACCTTTGTGTAAAGACATGAGTTATAACGAAACAATTTTTCCAAACTTATTAAATCACAATTCTCAAGTTCAGGCTGCTCTTGAGATGGAACGATTCGTTTCTCTTTTACACAGTAAGTGTTCACCTCATCTGGAACACTTCCTGTGCAGCATTTATGCCCCTGTGTGCACAGTCCTCGAGAAACCTCTTCCTCCTTGTAGAAGCCTTTGTCTGACCATGAGAAACGACTGTGAAGACCCTATTAGAAAACTTGGATCGTCTTGGCCAGAAATATTTGAATGTGAGAGATTTCCATCAGGAAAAGTTTGTGTAGGTGACATTAGTACAAGTACTGACACTTCTACAGCAGTTCCATCACCTCCACCAACAGATCATCCAGGTACCCAGCTCCCAGTGCCCAGATGTGAGCCTATTTCTTTGCCTTTGTGTAAGGGTGTGGGCTACAATCATACACTTTTCCCCAATTTACAGAGCCACACTTCTCAAGCTGAAGCTGCTCTGGAGATGGAACAATTTATTCCTCTTTTACGCAGTAAGTGTTCACCTCATCTGGAACTCTTCTTGTGCAGCATTTATGCCCCTGTGTGCACAGTCCTTGAGAAACCTCTCCCTCCTTGTAGAAACCTTTGTGTGACCATAAGGAGGGATTGTGCAGACACAATTAGAAGGCTTGGACTGTCTAGGTCAGAAATATTTGAGTGTGAAAGATTTACATCAAAAATACTCTGTGTGGGTGACATTGGCAGAAATCTTTGACAGCTCATCAAAAAGAAAATGAAACCATGTTAACCAGTGATAAATAAGAGGCTTTAATAAGAAACTCTACCTGTCCTGATAAATTATGATTTTCACAGAGACACTGGTTCTTCCTTTTTGTGGTGTTTATGCCCTTGTAATCCACAAGATTTTATGTATCAGCAAGAAGGGGCTGTAAAAGTGATGAAAAGGCTTGGTATTTAGTGCCAAGAATCCCTGGAAGATGATAAGTATCCGGAAGGAATTGTTGGAAAGATATAGCCTACTGTTCAGCTGATAAATGTGGACCCATTATATTATTGTGCAATCACTTGACTTTCAACTGAAGTTTCAAACCTGTTCCATCAGTATTCACAGGAAGGAGCTAGTTTAGAAGTTCACAAATTTTCTCTGGTAGACAGTGTTTAGAAATTCACAGCTTCTTACGCAGTGAATACACTATAGTTTGTAACTCACTAGAATGGCCAATTCCTCATTGCTAAAGTTTGTGTTTCTATAAAAAGTGGTTGTGAAAATCTAATATCTTGCAGACTGTGTTACTAGGATGCGGCAAGTATCCAGACGCCATAGACAGCTGGGATGGCAATTCAGCCTCTCCTTCTAGTAGTATTTCTTTCAAGTAAACATATCTGATTATGGATTTGCCGGCTACTCAGCTTCAAAGTCCCAACTGTGAGTTTTAGTTTTCTTTGTGTAATGATGTGCACCATCCTCAGGCAGAAGCTGCTCTAAAGATGGAACAATTCAATACTTTTTTTACATGCAAAGTGATTACCTCTCCTAGAATACATGTACCATATCTAAAGGTGCATATTGACTGTAAAATATTTCAAGATTTCTTGGAAAATCCTAAAACTTTTAAGTCAGATATCATGGTTTGGTTTTGTAACCCAACTAAACTATCTCCGGGGAGGCTTGCTACAGTTCCATGGCATCACAATAGGAAACAAATTGCCAACATAGCCGACAGAAGTGAGTCATATCGGTGAAATTCCCTTTTTAATGATTTATATTAGATATAAACTACCAAGTTAACATAACTGTGCCGACCAGAAGCATTAACTGGAGTGTATTAATAGCTTTATCATTCCCTAGAAGGTAAATACGAGCTACTTACAACTGTATTATGGCTGTCCTAGGTTGAAATCAGGTTGAAGCTGAAAAAAAAAAAAGATGTTTGGAGGAGGAGGGTGTTGGGGGCAAGAACCAGGAAAAAAAACCTATTTCATATGGAAGAAAACGGAAGGATACATGATAGTGAAAACTCAAGGCTATAGACATACCTGTCTGCAGAATTCAGTCTTACAACGTGGCAATTTATGGAAACCTTCCCAGTTCTACGACACAAGAGCAAGCAGGTCTGGAAATCCGTCAGTTCTCTCTTGTGATAAGTGTATAATGTTCCCCTTGTCTCCAGGATGTTTGTGCAGTGCCCTAGTTTAGCTCAGTCTGGTTCCTCCGTGCCAGAGCCTTAAAGTTTCCACAAATAAAGGCTGAGGAAAATGGAATAGCAAAGTCGTGGTAGATATGGCGAGGAGGGAAGTTACCAAAACAACCTTTTATTTGCATTAGACTGAACTATTACGGAATGAGAGGAGGCAGTCACCATTAAAAATTTGATTTTGATAATTCGATTGCTCTATTTCTCTTTTGACAATTGTAGATTTATTATATGATTGTATTTCACTGTTCTTTGCGCTTGCAATTATGATTTCATTGAGTATATTAATTAAATAAATGCATTGAAAACCC